TGGAAACTCCGACTAACGAATTCATCGAATCTACGGAGCAACAAAAATTGATTCGAGAACTTCATTCACGTAACGCAGAAATCGTTGAAAAGAATCAGAAGATCGAACAACTGACCAAAGAGTTACAAGTGAAGACACAAAATCTTCAAAAATTGGTAAATACCGAGTTATGGAGTAAAAACAAAGAAATCGCTAAATTGCATAATCACATGACGGCAAGCAATCAATTGGATAGAAGTCGTAGTAAAACTGATATTTCTCAGGAAAGTGCTAGTACACATCTGGGAACTCTTATTAAGGAATTAAATGAGATTGGTATCAAAGTGTCATTTACCAATGAAGTGATTCAATTGAATTACGTGAATGGTAACGAGTCCATAGACGTTAAAACGATGATCGAGTATGTTCAAAAATTGGTAGAAAAGAAGAACGAATTAGAAAAGGAAGTGGATTATCTTAATTGGTTGAAACTGGTCACAAAGCCTGACATTGCTGCGGAAATTGATGGATGTGAGAACGAAAGTGAAAGAACGAAAAGATATTGCGAATTGTTACGCGCTCATTTGAAGGATCTTGTGAAATTGATGAAGGACATCCTTAAGAACGCGAATCACATTGATGCGATTAGTCGTGAACATAATAAAATTGTATTGGATGTACTTCTAAGTTCGAATATATTTTCCGATGATTTTGCACAAGTTTTAGAAGGGATGACCAAAAACGTTATGACGTTTGGTATTAAAAAATCGATCGAAAACAATGAAAAAACCGATAGTGCCGTGAAAAAGAGTTATTCCGAAAATATTTTGGATTTAGCTAAAAATCATACAACAACGCAATCTGATTCGGAAGCTTTCTCCGAACCTGATAGAATAGTATCCATGGCTAGGATCGGTTTACAAGAAACTCAACACAAATCTGTGAATCGCTCTAGATTTAGCAAACATACGAAAACGTTTAGCGATTCGGAGGATTCGATGGATTATATACCATATCATAAAACTTATCAAGATGATTTACACGATCTTGATGCGAATCATCATATACAGGAACTAAAAGAAACAAATAATCTTTTGTATTCTGAATTGAGCGCTCTGAAGAACGATCTTACTACCAAAGTTGACTATGATATCGTATGTAATTCATTTTTCTTTCTTTCTTTCTTTTTTTTTTTTTTCTTATTTTAGAATCTATTTTTATGCCACACGCATATCTATTTCTTTTCTATTTTTTTTTTTTTTTCTTTTTAGATATTCGATGAAAAGCTGATACCGCTCATTTTGAAGCTTGAGAAATCGCAAAAAGTTTGTGAAAAATTGCAATCGTCGTTAGAAAAAAGAATACATGAGTGTCATGTTTTGAGAAGAGAGAGTAAACAGAACAGTATACGTAAAGGACAATTGGAAAAGAAAATAGCCGATGTGGAGAGTATGGTAGCTGAAATGACTAAACAAAAAGCTGAACTCTTGCAGTATAAAGAAAACACGGAAAAGAAGACAGCGGAAATGTTAATGGCACTTAAGAGAGAAAACGAACGAGTAATTAATGTCTTGTTTTTTTTATTTTAATTAAATTTAGATTTAAATAATCTAACTATATTGTAATCATTTTTATATACATATTTTAGTTGAGATCAAAAATCAGAACGATGGAAGAGGATAACGAAACTGCCAAAGTGAAAATATCAGCGTTGACAAAAGAATTGGATCATCTTACTCTTTTACACAGTCAAATTCTCGTCGAAAATACGAAATTAACTAACGAGAAATTAAGACTTGAACAAGAAGTACGAAAAACCGATAACAGATACGATATGGCTGTTCGTTTAATGCAAGATAAATTTAATAAAGAGGTATACGCTTATCGAACTATTTATTATTTTCATCATTACTTTTTTTTTTTTTTTTTTTTTTTTTTAAGTAATTAACATAACACATATGGAATTTTCTTTTTGTGTAGATCTCAGATTTGAATCAAATCAATGATTCGCATAGAGCAAGAATGGAAGAACTCGAAGCTACTAATAAAGAACTACGAAGACACGTTGCTGTTTGTGAAACTAGCGATTCAGCACCAAGTTCAAGTGGTGTTTCTTCTATACCAACAGAAAGCACATTGAAACAAACATGCGAAGATATTATTCAAGAATATCAAACCTATAATGTAAGTATTTACAAATGTCAATGAGTCTTTTAATAAAAGAATCATTTATGAATCATTTTTTGTAATTATTACAGCCTTCGCAATATTGGCAACCAATAAATTACCAAACTCTCGGTGGACGGAGTAAATCTAGTTGTTCACCTGACTTAGGCATTGAAAGTGATGCAGCAGTTACCACAGTAAGACCACTACAAGATACTTTAAAGATTACCGAATCAATGACTAATTTACTCAGCGATGATGACAACGGTAATAGAAATACTGCTGTTCGAGAGGTAGACAGCGATAGTCCATTGCCAATCGAAGGTACGTTTAAATTTATTAGATTTTATCTTTGAGATTTTATACTCTTTCACATAGTAATATTGCTCATTCATATATATGTATATACATACTTATATAGATAAATATATATAAGTATGTATGTATGTATGTATGTATGTAACAACTTCTTCACTAATTATATCTTATTGCTTTTATAGCAATTTTAGCTGGACATAAATATAGTATGTATCTCAGATAAACAATTTAATTGTTGTGCTTTGTTGTAGTCTATTTAATTTAGATAAAAGTTAGCGATCAGTGCTTATTTCTTTTCGTATTTTTAGCACTTTATATATTTTTAGTCAATGATTTAATACCATTCAGAATATACTATTTTTGCTTATATTAAAAAAAAAAAAAAAAAAAAAAAAAAAAAAATGTTATGCAACGTGAAAATCTGTTCGCTTACCACGTTTATGAGCTCATTTGTAATGAAAAATTTGAATTATAATTAGTAATATTTTTTTATTGATGAATCTCATAGGTCTTGATGAAATAGAAGCACTCAAGCAAGAAAATGAAATGCTGAAACGGAGATTAATGAAAACGAGAAGAGCCCTGGAAGATACGTTTCAACATTTATCGACCTCGAACAAAAATAAGAAAAATGTTGAAAAGGCAATCACTAAACAACTGATGATTACTAAAAGTATACTAAAGAAAACGAGAACGTACGATGAACCATTGGAGAACTAAAGCAAAATAAATATGAAAACCAAAATAAATTTAATATGTCTGTAGAAGAGAACGCAGATACAAAATGGACAAGGTTTTACTTAACCAATTTGCGTTAATCTTCAAATTGTCCACCACGCATCGTCCAGTTTTTATTGTTACGTATTTTTTAATCCAACTGTTATACTATTCTACAGACTGTTGTTATTTTTTTTAAACGAAACATTTCGAAGTGACACGTATAATGTTACGAGTACTAATAACAGCGATATTCTATCATTGTAATTTTTGTAAAACAAAAGAAAAAAAAAATATTTTCTTACTACAACGAAATGTTTTGGAAAGGAAACGAGAATGAAACCATTTTTGTGCTTTTTAAAATACGCGACTGTATAATACGATATTTGTATATACTTATGGAGAAAGATTGCACGCAAAACATTGTATAAATCCTTTTTGATTTATACGTGCGTTAGTGACAGTTCTTTCTCCCTCTCTCTTTTTTTTTTTTCTTTTTCTTTCCTATTGAGTAAGTTCTTGATTATGAACTTATTCTTCAATTAATTATTTTATCGATTACATGAAATCACACTCGCGAGTTTAAAGGTGTGCATCATTATACGGCATCTGTACATAGTCTTCATAAATAAAGTGCCATTAATATTTGCGGTTTGAAATATCTCTTTTTTTTTTTCGTTATTTAGACGCATTTATTCCTATTCTTTATTTTTATTTTTCTTTACACAGAAAATATTATGCTAAATTTTTTATTTATGGACAAATGCTTCGTCTAGATCGCGCTTCATTACCGAAACGACATTGGTATACGAATAAAATACGAATTAACATAGATTATGATAAATTTTTATTATCACTTGATGACTAGATAATAATATAAAGATCCGTAATAACCGATTTCGGTGAAGTTGCGAACTGCTGCGATAATCACACGCATATTTTTGTCCGTCAAGTTCGGTGAGGAGCACAAAATCAGTTTTTTTTTCTTTTTTTTTCTTTTTTTTCTTTTTTTTCTTTCTTCATATTGTACAACATTTCACTCTTTTTTAGTCGTTTAATACATCTTTCTTAACGCTTTTTCTTCGCTTCTTTCCTCATGATAATTGAATTTGTAGGCAGAATGATTAGGAAGAGGGGTATACGTATATACAATTCTACAGTGACACTTTTTCAGTAGCACGCTGCTATATATGATCAAGAACTGTAATCAAAATCTGATTGGCAATTACGTGATGAGTGTATTTTTTTTTTCTTTTCTTCCTTTTTCCTTTTTTTTTTTCCCCCTTAGAAATCGAATAAGACGAACCAAAAACAATTATTTTACGTACAAAGATCTCAGTTTGATTTTTCGAGGTCGATTGATCGTTCCATGAATTCCTACTTATATTCTGAATATGTCTATCTTTTCTGAAATTAGATATCTTATCTTGTTCGAGTTAACCGCAGATAGATTCACGATTCTTATATATTTTAATCTATATACCAAATATAATACGTATATAAATATAATACGTAATATAAACATACTATGTACGTATGTAGAACATCGAATGAGTTACTTGCGATTAATACGCACAACAGTGTTTTAGAGAGCCGGTGTTATAAAAAAAAAAAAAAATGAAAGAATTCATTGAGCAAAAATTTTATGCAAGAGATACGAATCGATAAAGATTCAGTTTCGATTACAGTTCCCGCATGTAATATACGCGATTATATGCTTCATTTAATGATACGAGATGCACGTAGAATTATCATCGATAAACTTGTAGAAAATCCGATGATGGTGCAGAAAGAGATCCCTTTTATTTTATTTTATTTCCTTTTTTTTTTTTTCCTTTGATTCGCAACATTATCGCACCTTATCTATGTGCACAATAAAATTCATCTGTGTATTTTTATTTTTGTTCATTCTCTTTCTCTATCTCCCTTTGTTTCTTTGTTTTTCTCGAAGAACGTGTATAAAATTTGAAATAAACCAGAAGGAACGAAAAGTTGTTTATATCATTCGCCGGATTTTATTTTTCGATATATTATTCATTATCGATCGAAACCAGAACAATTATTTTGATCATGTACATATTTTCGATTTTCACTTTCTATAAACTAATTGCAATTTTGATTATCACGATTTGTTCAATCTGTTTTGTTCCAGTATGATCGATCGATCGCAAATTTTTGCGAACAAGTAAAATTTGATTTTATTACAAGTATCAACGAAGGGATCTGCATTATCGACTCTTGTATTTATGATTTAGATACTTAGAAAATAATAACTTTGATCATGGAATATATCCTTTGTACTATTTTATGTAAATGAAATGACTAAACGTTCTAACTTTTGAAAAGTGTAAACGATTAAGAGATAATCCGTATGGTGAAATAATTGTGCTCATTGATTCTCAGAAAAGTATATCTTTTGTAAAACACATATCTTCACCTATGAATCGTGTTTTACTTTTGATTACAAATTCTCATTAGAATTAATACTTCATTTGTTAATCGGACATCGATTTATAATATTTATCTTTTAAAGAAAATTATTAATCATTTATACGACACTCGTACGAAGATAACTACAGTTTTTTTCTGAATTTAATCTTCTAGAATTTGTAATCAATGTGTCTTCTTAAAACGCAGTAAGAATATTTCAATTATTTCTGCTTGAAATATTTCATAGAAAAAAATCAAATTACTAGCCCCATGTCAATCAGAAATTTGGGCAGAAGATTCAATTAAAAATTTATCACTTATACGGAACACACGATATTAAATATAACAACTAAACAGATACTTCGGGGGAAATAAAGACGTATCTATTAAGAAATGGTATCTATAAGTAAAAGTATCGATCGTTTTCTATTTCGATAAAAATATTGAATGTTAAAATATCTTTCAAAATAGACAGATTAGGTTACCAAAAGATATAAATTTTTTTTTTTTCTAATTATATCGTCAAACAGAAAGAAAATATTCCATAATATATTTGGACTATTCCATTCGAATAGTCACAAAATATGGCTACGCGAGTTTTCTTTCTCTTTCAAGTTTATGAGACTTCGAGCTACGCAAGAATTTCCACGAAAGCTGACTTCGATAGTTATACACGATCAATACCTTGAAAGAGCTACCGGCTCGATAACGATAGATAAATAGATACGTCCGTGCATGTTCGTGTACGTTACTTACGCGACAGTTCATCGATGCTGGAATTTCCAGATTACATCTCCCGAAATATTACGCCGAAATTCATTTATCACGAGTCGAATTTAATACACTCGCGATGAGTCGCCTTTGATTTCCGTCGTGTTGTCATTAGATCGTACGCGATTGGTGGTAGGGACGCTTCACTTTTTCGCATTTGTTTGAATGGAAAAAACCAACGTTAAAACGTCTTAAGATAGAGTTTGATTGATCATGAGAGAGTCAAGCTATAGATCGTTAAGATTTCGTACTTGAATTCCATTTGTTTTTTCTTTCTTTTTTTTTTTCAAGTACTTCATCGTTCGATACTCTTACATTTTTATATTTTACATATAAATAATACTTATATGACGTCAAATATACACACGAAATAAGAGAACGTCGATCGCGATTATTACGATAAGATTCATTACTGTCTTTCATTATAGAAATCTTTCAATTATTGGCGCGAGAAAGAACGGTGCATTCATAAAATTTTTTCATCGTTCATGCGATGCTTTCGAATAGACCGAAGTCACGAATATATTTTGAAGTCTCGATTGAAACAAAGTCATAATAGTATCAAATAAATAATTAGAATGATACCGAATTACCGATAATAACTTTTCGTTTAAATTACTATCATTAGCCAAAATTTACATTCGATTTATTGTATTACTCGAGCGTCTTTCTTGAACTCATTTCGTAATTTTCAAACCGTTCTGTTTTTCAATTTCGCGCCTTATTTTTTTTATTACCCTTTCGTTTCGAGGCAATATAGAATTTGTACATAAATGAATTCGAATAAATCGCAACGCGTAGTTACTTGTCGTAAGTATATTGACGTAAATGTGTAATCGGCTAGAACGACGATGACGACGACAACAACGACGACCCTAACGGAAGAGATCCGAGGACACGCGATTCTTCTTATTTGTCATAATCTCAAGGAGAGTCTGTCGTCAGGTAAGTGTTCCGTAGCGTTGCATTATTTTAGACGGTATTCGATTTCGTTCGGCTTTGGCGGGTTATGTGGCGTAATGTGAGTGGTGATGAGCGTGCGAGGGTGGCTCTCCAAGCCAGGAATCCGGTGAGGGTGGAAAGTCGGGGTAACCACCGCCGCCACCACCACCGCCACCACCACCACCCCCGCTCGATTCGTTGCTAAGATCCGATGCAGGTCCTGGTACCATACCTCCTGGACCTCCTGTAAAAAAAATTCGATGGCTTTTTAAAAATCTTTTTCGATACATTACCAAATTCATATTAATTAAATTTCAGAATAGAAAGATTTTTTTTTGAAAAAATTGATTTTGATTAATTTCTTACCGAGAGTAGTGTATACTGAAAGACCTGCATCCGGTGGGTATGGAAATTGTGGTGGTAAGGACGGCGATCTGGATGTCGATAGATAAGGTGGTGTCGTTGCACCTAAATAACTACGAGGTGGTCCACCGCTACCACTATTTCCACCACCACCTGGACTCGCACCTTCTCCATCTAATCCCATATTTACGACCGTTCCGTAACTATCGTTACTCAAATCTAAAAAAAACAAGATATTTGTTACGAATAAGTACCTACATGTATACCTACGTATTGTTTTTTTTTACCAGTAGATCGACATTAATAATACTATATTAAGAAATTAAAGATACGCAGTTATCTGAAGTGAGCGTAAACGAGTGACCGAATCAAACAGAAGGCATTAGTCGTGAAGATAGAAAAGATAAAACTTGTCTAGCATGATTAGCCTTGGCGATAACTCTACTCGTCCGAATAATATCCCGACGTTCGGCTTATGAAAGATCGAGGGAAGATAAGCCGTGCCTCTAGATCGAAGATAATTCTTGTCCTAGTAGGAATGCACGTGTCACCAATTTCGTTTCCACTTTCGCGACGTGACAAACATGAAAGAAGCGTTCTCTGACACGTTGAATTGAGAATGGATTGTTTCATGAATTATTAACGAATCTTCGTGCTTGGACGCTTGATAATGACTCGTTTAAATTTTATAAACTTCTCTCAGCCTTTAATCGTCGATCCCTTTGATCATTTTTTTGGCAATGTCCTTGCCTAGATGAATTCATTATATATATATATTTATATATTTATATATATATATATATATTTCATTGTTCTGTTACATGTATAATAAAGATGATAATAATAATAATAATAATAATAATAATAATAATAATAATAATAATAATAATAATAATAATAATAATAATAATAATAATAATAATAATAATAATAATAATAATAATAATAATAATAATAAACTGATAACATATTTATCTATTATATCTATTCGAAAGAAAAATTTCTCTACTCGAACAATGACACCGATTTCAAATCGGTCTTTTAAATATTTAACAAAAAACTTTTGCGTAGGCCTTTTTAACGAAGAACTTTGCGTAGGGCTTACAGTTAATGGGGGATATAAATTTAAGGATAATCCGCAATCTTCCCAAAATCTCAGGTATAGCAAGCCAGCAGTTAGCCTTTGCGATCTCCTGAATATTTGACGAAGATCGTCCTCTCTTCCCTTGTAGGTACCTTGCGAGCGATAAAGCGATTGCGGAGACGGAGTTTCGTGAGGCTCGTTTTCTTCAACGAGACTCGTCTTTCGCATGGGACGAAGAAACGACTCTTTTTCGAAAGAACTTACGTAATTCGCGCGTTTTCGCGGGTATTCATATCTACATATACGATATATATATATATATATATATATATATATATATATATATATATATATATATATTTCTTTTCTTTTCAAACTTTTTTTCAAACTTAGATCTACGAACAACGAAGAGGAATAAATTAATTGTTTACATACCGTGATGGCCGAAGGTCGAATCCAAATCAACTTTAAGTTCGTCCTTGTCGAGTAATTTGTCGTGCCTAGGCGAATGTCCACCAGCACTTGTCCCTTTCATACTTCGAAAATACTGCGACCATCTTGTCCTACCGGCGTCCTTCTTCAGTCTCTTCTCCTTTGCTCTCCTTAACACGAATGATTCATTCTATTCCGATCTTGTGTGTTTGTATATAATTTTTTATCGACGATAAAGAAAAAATAAAAAAATATATAACAGCGGATAGGATCGCTGCACTCCGGTAGTAGAATGAGTAAGCGATTATTTTTTTCTACGATTATTATCTAAAACTCGACGGATTGAACAATCGGCACGCGTAGAAAACTTTTATAAGTTCGAATCTCGTCTTATCGGCTTATCGATCACGACGTCGATCTTAGAAAGTTGCAGAAGTTACTACTTTGCAACATTTCTCTCGATATTCTCCTCGAGATTTCTTCGAGTACAAAGCGATAGAGACATAAAAGAGGTGAGATAAAATAATATTCTTTGATAAATAGTTACCTACTTTTGTTACTTTGTACCGTGGTATCGCGCACATGTATTTGAAGCGATAATAAGAATAGGCGTAAGAAAGATAGTTCTAGGATTAAAGAAATTTTCAAACGATTATTGTTTTTTTTTCGTTTCTTTTCTTTTCTTTTTTTTTCCTCTTTTCTTATTTTCCTTTTTTCCATCAGTCTTCGTAGATACTATTTAAAGGAATATCATATCGCGTACGTGATCGATCATTTTCTGTAGAGATTATTATCATCAATATTCTCTCGGAAAGTTAATGAATCTGAAGCATTTAATTTTAACTGTGGTCTCACGATTGGTCTTGCCCTAAAAAGGGCTTCGGAAACCTTATCGGTTGATACGGAATTCTTACGAGTGCCCAGCATCTCGCAATTACTCATCTGCCTTGGCTTCACTTAAATTTATCTCCGGACGAAGGTTCGCCCTTTTCTCTCAATGAACGATTTTAGTTGTATTTGTAAACTGATACTTTTTCCTCGCTATTTTAGAATTAAGTACACTCTAGAAAATTTTGTCGAATCTATATGTTTATCAAAACAAATAATCCTAGTTCTATTGTAGTACGAGCTTTATCGTAAACTATCGTAAACATTGGGAAACTTATCTTGAAAATTCTTAATTAACCTAATTTACATCATGCGAATAATATACGAGTAGTATTTTATTGATGCAATATATATTATCAATGGAGATATTTTTTCGTGTTTATTTTTCTTATAAAATATATATATATATATATTTAGAAATCTTATTCATACCTGTTTTGAAACCACACCTGGACGACACGCATATCCAGACCTGTGTCCTGCGAGAGCTGTTCTCGAACATGTCTCGCTGGTTTTGGACTAGTATTGTACGCCAATTTCAAGGTCTCCAATTGTTTCGCCGTGATCGTCGTTCGCGGCCTCTTGTTCGGTTGATCTCCATCGATGCTACCGCCGTCGGCCAGCTCTAAAATTCGTTGCATTTTCGTAATCCTCTGACACATTTAATTGTTATTATTGATATTAATGCGACGACAAAATTTGGAAATATTTTATTGGACGTTTAAACATCGCTTAGAACATTTAATTAATTTACGAGGATATCCGTCAAAACGAATAAAAAAAGGTAACCAATCGAGTTCTCTCCGGGTATATATATATCTTAATTTCTACCTGCTGTTTCAATTTATTCTTCAGACAATTTAATTACCTTTTGCCTTTGCCTGTTCGTAGTCCGGCTTGCAGACGAGTTTTCTATCCTCCATGAGGTAAAATTCATCCCCGGTGTCCAATTGTCGCGAGCAGAGTGCGCAGGAGAAACACGTCAGATGATACACCAACTCCTGCGCTCTCCTTACCACTTGCGATGGTGCCAACCCTTGGCCGCAGCCCGCGCATTTCGTCCCAAAACGCCTGCCACACCAACAACATACAACATTTTCACATTACATTCACACGTAAATGACAAGACTCTACACGGCTCTTTTTTCTTTATTTTCGTTTCTATTTTGATTTAACGAGATAACGACGAGGAGGAGAGCGATAAAATTTGTAACGATCATTGGTGCTTACTTGAAGAAATCGTCCTTGCAAAAGACATGGCCGTTTCTCGCGAAGCATTTGTCCGTTAGTCTTGCTCCACAATCTCGACAGGTCAGACATCTCGCGTGCCAACACCTTTCTAGGACCTTCAACACATACCTATCCAAGATTGCTTCCTGGCAACCACCACATTTCGGTATTGAGGCTGCAACGAAAAAGAATAATTAGAATTAACGATCATTCTTTATTTAAAACAAAAAAAAATCGAACAGAACAATGGATGGAACAGAAGAATAGAGATTCGTCAAGCGTGAACCTGCGAGAGAAATTGTTCACTTACAATAGAGAATCTCCGGAATATGCGGGGGCAAGCCGAGATCGACGGCAGGTTGATCGAGAGGGTGCATATCGTGGCAAGTGGTATTATCAGTGATGTTGTTACCAGTGTTGCGTCGATGCTGAGACTCCGGGCTACTTTGCGGCGGAGTGAGCATCTCCTCGCGAGCTCGCTGGTAAATCCCTTCCAGCGGCAGAGTCTCACGACTCAACATCTCGAAGCTTATCATAGTCATTGCGCTTAAGAAACGCGTCACAATAATTCCCCTTGTACGTAACTCATCTCGAGAAGTAAGAGAACGAGATATAAAGTATGATCGAGAGTATTCTCTTTTATCACATCACTGGACTCTGGTCCAATATTATTATATCGCTATATGTTGATCGTTAGCACAAAGTATTCACACTTGTTTGAATAATGAACTATGTCCGTTGTCACTATGATAGTCTCTCTATACTCACGAATAAAAAGGAAAATATAAAGAAAGAAATAAGCCGCTCGGTAACGTGCGAAATAAACTGTGAAAGATCAGAGAATGAAGAGGAGAAAAAAAAAGTAACGATGAAAATAAAAAGAAAGAGAAAAGGAGATAGATAGATAGATAGATAGATAGATAGATAGAAAGGAGAGAGAGAGAGAGAGAGAGAGAGAAAGAAATAGGAGCGACAGAATGGAAAGCACGGATGACAAGACGGTTGCAGGCACACGACTGCTCTGTCGACTGTAGCGTTGCTCGTGCGCACGTGACATGCGTGGGTGTGGCGGGTCACTGGTGGGGCAAGTGTCAGGGTGATTGGGTGTGGTTTCTACCCATACCACCTCGCTTCCGGTACCGATTGGAGGAAACTTTTACCGCCTCCAATATGGCGTACAAGCTGGACATCGTATTTGACGGGGGTTGCTTACAACCACCCTGACGACTCTTCTTACCCTCGTTGGCACCCCTCGAAGAACGGTGGATAAAAACAAAGGACTACAAATTTTGGCGACGGCGATATAAACCCGGACACACGTTCCCGAGAAAGTTTCTCTTCGTATTCATCGACGTTTTTCCTCGGATACGAGAATACTAGGTTTTAGCGCTTAGCGATATTCTCGCTTTGTTGAATACGTGTTAAGTTTACTAAGAAAACTTTTTGATAATTTCACTCTCTTATCGAATAGATATTACAAATTGTATCGTCAAATTTTATTACATTATTTCATTAAACAATCTTCCATGACAAGTTATGCTTTCTTGCATATTTATTATTTTAATACGAATAATAGTCACATAAATTTTCTCTTTTTTTCATTTTTTTCTTTATCTTTAACTTTTTAACCCTTTATCTTTAACTCTCTTTATCTTCTAATCTGTCCTTTATTTTTTTTTCCCCCTATTCACAAAATAAGGACAAGAGTATTTCGTTTCAGATAGCTTGTATTTGTTCGTTAATATCCATTCATCTTTTGAACCACGCCTAAGATACCTATGCATTCATCGGAATCGTCGCGTAAAAGAATTCTCGAGCTTTCCCTTAGGAACTACCTTTGGTATAAGGGACTGTCGGTGATTCGGGAAGGAACGTAGAATATCGGAGGAAGGCGAAACGGTGGTATTGGTGGATGCTTGTGGTAGTAAGCTGACTCGACGAAGGGGATTGTGGAGAGTACAAAAAGAACTGAGCGAAATTAAGAACGACCATGCTGCTGCTTCTGCTTCTCCTACTACTGGTGAGGTCGCCATTTTATAATCTTAGTCGTGATCATTCGTGTATATATTCCTTTTCATTCCTTTTCTCTCTCTCCCTCTCTTTTTCTCTCTCTCTTTCTCTCTCTCTCTCTATCTCTCTCTCTCTTTCTCTCTTTTTCTCTCCCTCCATCTCTCTCAATATCTTTTTTCTCTCTGTCTCTGTCTTTTTCTCAACACTAGACGCAAGTGTACTCTCCTTCTTTTTTTCTTTTTCTCTAGGCGAATGCATACACCGTCTCATCTTGGATATCCACGATCACGCAGGAGATATCCAAGGCGTTTCTAGATCTCTTTTCCCTTTACTGGCTCACCTTTATTTCATCTTTCTCTTTTTGCTCGAAAAAAAAATTCTAACTCCATCGCTAAAATATGGATTTTCTGAATGTATATCTTTCTTCCCTCTCTTTCTCTTTCTTTCTCTTTTACTCATTCACCCTTTCTCTCTCTCTCTCTCTTTCTTTCACGTACCTTCATAAAGGCAAGTTAAATATTCTTAATAAATCAATCAGAAATATTATATACATAGATATAGGTTTGGATTTTTATTTTTTTTCTTTTTCAATAATAAAAAATATTGAAACTCTTCAATGAGATCTGCTGAAGAAAAAATATCGATTATAGGAAACGTCAAGTCATATCCATTTATTTGACCTTCAAAAAAATAAATCGACTTGATATCCAACGCGCCATAAAACTAGTGCTCTTTTCTTGAACGTTCATCCGTATAATCGTGCTCGTTAACAAAAAAATAGCTGGCAAACTCAGCGACGATGGTGATCAATGAACGGACATCAACCTTAATGCACCCTAAAGCACGTTGAATTTTCCACCTCGTGTCCGCGGGCAACAGATGGTCCACCATTTTGCATACATATCGTTGATCCTGTTAAATCTATCGCTTATATGTCACTTTCGTTGCGGCTAAAAGGGACGAATGCATCGACGAAAAAGTCAGTCGTTTGTACTTTTAGTATAACTACCTACTATACTTTTCGACGAAACCGGTCATGCTTATTTTGTGGCAACGAGGAAGCCTAATCGATAACCATATTCGGTAACTATAAATCATCGCTTTCTTTATATTATATTTCTTTATATTATTTTTCGATTATACGATAATCATGCGTTTTCTTAGAACACGAAGAACATACGATTATAATTATTATCATATGGTTATTATTTATCTTAGATCGACAGATCGAAAATTTTTTAAAGTTTGATTTAAAAATGTATTTTTAGAAATTTTTCAAAGATCATCGAAGTTTTTCGTTCATACTTTCTTCTCAAATCTTTGATTATCTTTAAGAAAGGAGCAAGATCAATAATCTCTTCGGGATGATTTCCTATTTTCCGTTTGGATCTTTTTCTAAGCTCCTTGCATTTGTATCGTCGAGATTGTTGAAAGGGAAAATCAAGATGTCCGCTTTTTGCGCTTTTATTTTCGATAGATCTCTTTCTTTCTCTCTCTCTCTCTTTCTCTCTCTCTCTCTCTTTTTTTCTTTCTCTTTCTCTCTCTCGTCAGGATGGAGAAGCTATTCAGGGAGTGTCTCTGCGATTGCGCGGCTTGCTAATTTCCGTGGGCGTCCTTCTCGGCCTTCGATCACGCGAATCCACCCTTCGTCGGTTCCGCTGCACATGTCGACACGCCTCCAGGAGTCGTTCGTAAGCGTAAAAAGCATCGCCAACGGGGGGTGTAGAGGGTTTTCACGGCTTGGCAAGGGTAGATGCCGCGTTTGGGCTCACCTCGGGGGCTTGTGCCGAGCGGATGAGCCACGTAAAAAAAAAAAAAGAAAAAAGATAAAGAAAAAAAAAAGAAGAGAAAGAAAAAAACAGGAGAGAAACAAGAAGAGAACTCAAGCTACACGGTCTGCTACTCTGGAATAACATCCCCTTTGGCACCCTTGACCTAACAAATTATGACATTTATTATTTATTTTTACTATTCATCCTTCTTCATGCTGGACCTCGTAAATACCTTCCCGAAGGGATAAGTACGAAGGACACGAAGGCGTAATGTATTTTTTTTTCTTTTTTTTTTTTCACATTTAAAAAAATAATCATTTTTACGAAAGAAAATACAGAACTCTTGTTTATAAATATAATGTTCGTAAAACTTTTAATTAGTAAACGAAAATAGAGATAAATACTATAGGATATATAATATTTCTTCTAAAATTTCATAAAATATTAATCGAATATAACTATGTATGTATAATCGAATTTGCAGCGGACAAATGCTCTCTGTATCTATTTCTCTTACTCTCACGTTCTATGAACATTTTCATAACGTTAACGGGTAATATATTATATCACCCTTGCTATGCGTAAAAGGTTATGAATATATGCCATCTATTTGAACCATTTATGCATATGGTTTTCCATTGGTGAACCCCTCCGTGCTATTCTATAAACGTATATATATATATATATATATATATATATATATATCACTAATGAAATTAATATTCGACAAGTGCAATTGCGAAACCCTTAAAATTCATCCCACGAAGCCAAAGTAATCTAAATGGAGCTACTGGATTTTTTAGGGATTTTTGAAACTCGGAACGATACGAATGAAAGAGGCGAATGGCTATATCAATTCGTTTATTTTAGTCGAGAGATACGGTCAAAGTAGATAATAATTTGAATGTAAAATATCGAAGTGAAAAGCGAGTAATTAATTGTACGAGAGTAATTCTACGATAATCATCAAATAACAATCAATATCTCTCCGCTCTTTCTTTAACAATATTTTTTTATAAATATTATGAATTTCCTAGCATCAAGTGCAATAATCGGAGCGTAAGCCAATGTGCCAGATGTGCCATTGTGACATGGAATTCTATGAGTGCCAATGGGGGTGAAAGGAGGAGTAAAAGAAAGAACTAGAAAATAAGAGGAAAGAAAAAGGGAGACAGAGAGAGAGAGAGAGAGAGAGAGAGAGAGAAAGAGAGAGTGAATTTTACGCGGGTGTATCGTCACGGTAGGCTACGTTGTCCCTTCCCTCTTCCATTTCGACTTTGAGTCTATGCAAACCCCCATGTAACTTGCGTACAACACCCCCGTGGAAAGCCCCTTGCGAAATTCACAAAGCTCGATGACAGGACCCTCCTATTGTCGTTTTGGTTCTGGCCGAGATCTCGAATAGTTAAATGGGCTTAAACGATGCACGTACGTATGCATAT